CCTTGACCTCGTCGCCGTTTCCGCATAATGCCCTGGCACCATGTCCCGAGCCGGATGACATGCCCCGCGCGCGGGCCCTTCGTCCCACACGAGCACGTAGCACTTTGCGCGCCGGCCATCGACGCCCTGGATGGTCGGGTCCCGCCACACCTCCTCGTAGGGCGTCTCGACGCCCGTCTCTGGGTTCACCATCTGGCCGGTCTCAAGCGTCCTCTCCCCGTCCATGGGCGCCATGTCACCCTCGTCGGCGAGCCCCTCGGTGGCCACTGTGCGCGAATCGAGCCAGTGTCGCCACACGCCGTGCGTCTCGCCCGGCCCGCCGCGTGGCGTCGACGACGACGTGCCTGCGATGGCCCAGTCGAGCCGCTCCAGCGGCGCGACGTCTGTCGGGAAGGGAACGAGGGTCAGCCAGCTCAGTGTGAAAGCATGAGGAGGAGTGAGGCTTTTAAGTGCACCTCATGATGAGAAAAGGACCATCATCGGCACACAAAATGCAGCAGCCGTACCTTCAGCGGGCGTCGCGCCCTCGGGGTAAAGGACTCGAATGTCGACAAACCGTCTCTCCGGCGATGTCAAGACCACGGTCGACGTCGGCTCGCTCATGGCGGCGGGCAGCCAGCGGATGCCCTCGCGAATGGATATGCCGGCCATGGTCGTTCTCGTGAGTAATTCCCTCGGCTGGCTGGAGGCGATTCGCAAATTGTACCTATCTGGCCCCGACCCCTCTTATACGATGCAGTGGCGAATGTCGAGACGGACAAATCCCAACGAGGAAAAAGAGTCATGTCATGTGTAACACCTTTTTAGATCTCCCGGGTGGAGCCGATAAAGCCGACGTGGCCGTCGAATCAAGGAGGCTTCTTGACGCAGGTCGCACGATGAGAGCGGGCAGCATTCATCTCCGCTAAACCAAAAAAGATGGACCGCCGGCGGTCCCTAATGTGTCCCAATGGATCTGGCGGCATTCGCCTGAGGACAACCAGCAACCTGACCACCCAATGACCGTCGCCCGACATGTAACGAGGGAAACGCTCATGGCGATCCTCTTCATCAGGACCTTGCGCTCAACTTTATTCGAACAATCGATTGGGGGCAAGAGTGTCAAGAGGCATGTGCATTACCCAAGTGTCCCGTGTATTATGGCGATGTTCACAGAACGATCCCACCGTATCCATTCGCCCGTCCACCGTATGCATCGGCCAACTCTATCATGCTCCATCTCTTTTCGGTTGTCATTTCATTGGGAGGTTGGGACTCCGCTTCTTAAGCGGCCATGTGCTCAGTCTCCCCGATACTGGCCCCTCAGTGCATCTACTTCTCTCTGCAGCGCGTCCAGGTCTGCGAGGATGTTCTGACCCTCCCTGAGGCCTTCCTGTCCCGCATCTTCCGCTACATGGTTATGAGCTGGCGGCGTGAAAACCCGCGTGCTGTCAAGACTCGTCCGCTGCGATGCGCCCGGCGCATCGACACTGCCCTTGCTGCTGCCCCTCTGTCGGGGCGGCGGTGGGTGGAGGCGCAATGGTTGTTCTCCTTTTTCTCCGCTCACGACTCGTCTGCTAGTTGGGTTCAGCGTTCCGCGGCTGCGCCTTCGGTGTAGACGCCTTCCGCGCCGGAGGGGGCGCGGCGGGATAATTTGGTGGTTTGCTCGTGCGCCCCACCATCTAGGGACACAGGCGTCCCAAACGACGTG